CCTTGGCATTCCTAACCTTCTATATTAATAGAAGGCAAACGTCACGGTTCAATTTTATTTCCTTCTGCTTTCCCTCTCAAACTATGGGTAGTGTTGTGATTGATTATGAAAATGGCCAAAAGCAAAATGGTGAAAGTTAAGGTACAGCAGAGCCCTCGTGTTCCACAAATTACATTACTTGCAACTAACTGATGATTTTATTCCACATCGTCTGTGCAGCCTTGAAAAAGTACATTGATTTCTTCATTTAATTTGCCTTCTCTTTAATTTGCCTTCTCATATACAAATACTAATGGGATCTTGGTTTAAAATGGTATTGAACTAGTTAGCCTTGATACAGTTTTCTGAAATGCCAACCTTATCTACAGAGAGAAAGAGCAAGAGGGAGACTGAAAACAACCAGCAAAATATCATATGCATTTTGAATAGTCAATTCTCAGTTATATACAAGAACAACCCAAAGACACTCTACACAGCTAACAACTCAGGGAGTGTTCCCATAGCGCGTTCCTGAAAATTTTTGCGAGACAAGTGCTCCAGCCCACAAAAAAATCAATTTATATTAAGAACCCAAGAAATAGGAAAATATTGATTTGTAATGAAATCAGTAAAGCTTAGCATTAAATGAAAATAATTGTTAAACTAGATACAAAATTAGGTGAAAATATTAAAAATAATTGTTGAAGGAGAAGGTGATGATAAGATACCAATTTGCTTATAAATTTCTATATTTTAAATCTCATACTAGTTCAATAAAAATTGGGTGAGGTTGGGGGAAGTAAGTAAAAATTCACTAAATTTTTTAGCATTTGAAAATAAGTGTCAATATTTACTATTCCATTATTAATATTGGTAGAAATTTATAGTTCAATAAAAAATTTTAAAAAAATCTCCAGTAGAATAAAAATAGGATGTATATAAAGACTATAAAAAGACATATAACAAATTGGGGTGGGGTGGAAATTGCAGTATATTTTGTCAAATGAAGAATTAACATCCTTACTATATAAAGAATTCTTATGGATCAATTATATATACATATATTATATATAATATATGTGTGTGTGTGTGTGTATATATATATATATATATATATATTAATATGAGTAATAAAAGGTGAAAGATAATGATTAGGGAAACACAAAAGGAAATAAATATGAAATTTGCAGTGAAATATTGTATTAACTTGTAATACCAGCAAAGAGAATCATGATAACCCATGTTGACGTTAAGTATAGGGAAATGCCAAAACCAAAACCAAACACACTGCCGTGGAGTCAGACCCAAATCACAGCAACCCCTCCATGGGTTTCCGAGGGAGTATCACTACGGAAGTAGATTGCCCAACCTTCCTTCCGAGGAGTGGCTCGTGGGTTTGAACCGCCAGCCTTCTGGTTAGCAGTCAAATGCCTTAGGCACTACACTACCAGAGCTTCCATAGGGAATAGGTACTCTTATTATACACACTTCTATTTGGAGATAAAATTGATAAAAAGCTTTCTTGAGGGAAATTGATAATATATATCAAGAGCCTTAAAAACTGTTATCTACTTTGACACAGGAATTCCACCTCTGGTAATTTATCCTAGTTAAGTAATCAGAAATAGGCTCAAATATATATGCTCAAAACAGCGCTATATAAAATTATAAAGAATTACAAAATTAAATGCCCAATAATAGAATAGTTCAATTATGGTATTCCATACAATGCAGCCATTTAAGTCAGATTTTTCTAAGAATATTATCAGCATAAAATACTCAAGATAGAAGTAGAAAAGCAGAACAGAAGAAAATATTACACTATGACCCTAATTTAGGGGAAAATTTACTGATACATACATATAAAACAAATTTAAAAGAATTACAATTTTAATAAGTTATATTTGGCTGAAGAGATTGTGAGTGGTTTTTATTTTCTTCTCAATATGTTTTTCTTGTATCTGTAACCTAAAATCAAACCCACTGATGTCAATTCTAACACAGAGTGACTCTATAGAACAGAACAGACCTGGCCCATAGGGTTTTCAAGGCTGTAAATCTTTAAGGAAGCAGACTGCCTCTGGCTTCTCCTGAAACGCAGCTGGTGGGTTCAAACTACCAACCTTTTGGTTAGCAGCTGAGCTCTTAACCACTGTGCCACCAGGCCTTCTATCTGTATCCTAAACACATATTATTTCTCTAGCAAAAAATAAATGTTAAAAATACTAATATTTAATACTAAATGGAAATAGGTCCCTATCGATTAGACTTGCAAATTGCAACACCCACACATCTTTGATTGAAAACAATGATTTTCAGCTCTGAGAGCTATAAAGAATATTGATTTGCTTTTTCCTAACAACTGTGGGCTCTGGCCTAGAACTTGGTAAATCAAGTTGGTTAATAAAACCAAGGCTTTAGGTCCAATCCTATTTTTGATCAGTTTAATAACTGATGTGTGAAGTACATTTCTTGAAACCCAAGTTCTCTGGTGAGAAAGAAAAACCATCTGGGACAATCAAGTACAAACAGACCACAAATGAAAACACAGGCACAAACTGATTTTCTTATTAACACCAGTCAGCAGCTTGACTGGGAGACTGAAACATGTATAAGATGTTAGTTGTAGGTTGGTATTTTTACCCCCCAGCTTCTTAATGTTGCATTCAAATCTCTAACCTTCTTTTCCAATTTATTTATATATTGGTTACCACTTATCCAATACTAACCACATGCAGGGCTCTATTCTAAGTGCTTTCCATGTCTTATTTCTATTCTTTGCATTGACTCTGTGATATGCATTATCACCTCCAAAATGGAGGGTCACCTTGATTTGCGCAAGAGCACAGTGAAAGTAGAGATTCAATTCTCTCCTTTTCCACTAACCAAAATTTGCATTGTAAACCAACTATCTGCTCACAAAACAGACATAACCCAGGCTCTGCCCTTTTGTCCATCCCCTTTCTGATGGTTCCCCATTTCTAACTACACCTCCTTCAGGACTCAATCCACGACATCCTTTGAGTCCTGGCTACATGACATTTGGCCTTCCCAAAAGCTCAAGCAGGGTTAGGGACAAGTCCTTTATGCTTCCAAAATAACTTAAACATATCTCCATCAGCATACCTAATATATTTAAAAATTATTAGCAGCTTATTTACCTGTCCTTTTTAAAGGGCCCATTTTCCTCTGGAAAAGAAACCCTCTTCTGCTTCCCTAGGTGATGAGTTTCAGAAAGTAATTTTAGTAAGCCAGATAATTGCAAATAAATTATTTTGAAGCACCTCTTTAAATTGTGCATTGTCAGGCGCTGGATTTTGAAGTGTAATGAGTGTAATTGATTGTAAAAGAGTGCTTCTTTTGAGAGGATGCAGTAGCTGCCATTGCTGCTTGCAACGCCTGCCAACAGGCAGATTTTAAACGTTTAAAGCATTTGAATGGACTGTCAGAGGGTACACTTAAAATATGGAAGAGGCACTGGATCCCTCCGTAGCTCAAGGCACAACATCTGTCCCTAAATGATAAGGGTCCAATTTTGCCCTAAAAGCACCATAAATATAAATCCTTTGACTTAATTAAAATGAATAGCCACTTGGACCAAATGTTGTGGGCAAGTCACAATGGTTTGCCTTTCAGTAACTCTAGCAGTGGGGTCCCTCTTACACTTGAAGCAGACACTCCATGTGTTGCAGACCAAGACTGCCAGAGCCTGCTCTTCCTGTCACTCCCATCCTTCTTTTCACTTGTGCTGATAATGGGAGGACAGAAATTTTGAGACAAAACACTGTTTGCCAGCTGAAGGCTGGTGGGAACTAATCGACAAGTACAAGTTTCTAATGAACTCCCATTCTTCCATTGAGAGAAACACTATAGTAATGTAGTGCCTAAAGCACTTAACTGCTAACCAGAAGGCTGACGGTTCAAACTCACCAGCCACTCCTTGAAAGGAAAGTTGGGCAATCTACTTCCATAGTGATCCTGCCTCGAAACCCAAAGTGGGGTCACTATGAGTCAGGACCGACTTGGAGGCACATAACAACAACAATAACACTGCTCTTCCTGCAGGAAAAAGTGAGCTTGGAGGATAGAGCCCTGTGTTATCCATCTCAGTGCTCTGCCATGTAGCAGAAAGCCTGCATACAGAGGTACTCAACAGATGTTAGCAAAAATGACTGGTGTTGAAGGCTCACCCTTACAAAGAAGGCTGTGATTAGTTTCTCTTTCTGAGTGTCCAGATATCTCCATAGCCCTGCCCCTCCTTGAAATCAGGCACCATAGTTCTATACCTCTTTCTCTTTTGTTACCTGTGTACATGCTGCCTCTCTCCCTATACTATAATATGATCATGTACTATGTGCTAGTCATGTAGTACATACTTAATAAACACAACTACCTATATGGATAAATGAATTTCACCTTAAAAGAAATGTATTATTTCAGTCTTTTTCTTTTATTGTCCCAAGAGCAATGACTTTTCTGGTCTGAATTTTGATGATGTTTGCTTTAGGGAATTTCCGTTTATGTACAAGTTATCTCCATCTCAGAAGATTAGTTCCATGCTCTGAGCAGTGATTGAAGGGAAACTGAACATGAAACAAACATAACTATGCAAAGAAAGTAAAATGCCTTATACCCCAACACAATGGCTATTGGATGGGTTTCACTTAGGTAAAAGAAGGAATGAAGGCCTCACAGTTGTGCCACACAACAACAGAATGAGAATAACAAGATGGTCTAGCTGAAACCGAGAAATAATAAAACCCATTCCCTATAGACTCTTTGTACTGAGAAAAGGAGTGTGGTGTCAGGAGGCTGGAATTTTGCCCTGGTTTTATTATGCACAGAGTGTTGGATGTGGTTAGGATCTCAAGAGGTAGATTCTAGCATGGAGCAATTTGAATCTGCATCCTGGGTAACAGTGCTTCACCTGCAACATCTATAAATCAGAGATGGTTGTTGTAAGCGTGAGTGTTGAGTGGCTTTAGGTAAGCCTCCTGGAGAATTATCTAATAGCATGTTACCTTTAGGCACCTTGGCCCTCCATCTCTCCCGGTTGATTTGCACCACCTCCGTCCAAGTGGCTTTAAAACTCTTATAGTCGACAGGGATGACAGAATTGTTGATTGGGGCACTTCCTTCTGACCCAGAGCTCTTGATACCTGACCTTTTTGCATCTGATGAGCTGATATTGTTCAAACTGGAGTACGAAAAGCAAACCAAAGAAGAGGGTTAGTGTTTGGAAAATGTATGCCAATGACCAAGCTCAAGAGAGGAGTGATTAGCACACATCAAGTTATTGTTATGAAATCTCTAGGTTTTTAGGTTTATAATTATCGTATTTTCCAGATGTGACAGGTGGGAAGTTCTGTATCTTCAATAGGGAAAAAAAAACAAAACATTTCAGCCTCAGGAGTCCTAATATTCTGCATATTATTTCCTTGTTGATTGGTCTCTTCTCTTTCTGAATGTCATTAGAATATCCTCACATGATGTGATATACTCTGAAATTAATGAGTTTGAACTTGGACTTCTGCTTGGTTCCACAGTTCACCTGCCTGCTTCAATGCTGACCACTTTCCCAATTTACCCAGCAATTTGATCATCCTTCTTTCCAGCTCCACCTCCATAATACTCAAGGTCCCTGCTTATTCAGTATCCCCAAGGTTATGGGAAGATGGAGAGGAATAGCTTAGAGACTGTAGGAGATCATGTCATGAAACAGATCTTTCTTTCTATGAACACTCTTAGGTCCTAAAAACAGGAAACTTTGCAAATATTAGAAGGGGCTATACTCCTGAAAAACTTTAAAAGAAACTACCTATCACATGCTTCTAGGTGGCTAAAGTAGTGACTGGCATGAATGCAAATCCACTGAATAACCACTGAGACTGCCTAGATAAACAGAACATGTTTCAACCCAGTGCTTGAAGAGCTGTAAGGCAGGGGCACTTGTTCTTCTTGTTAGCAGCCTTGACTGGGTCCATCCACCTTGAGAATTCCCAGTGTCCCACTGTCCTAATGTTTCTCTTTATCCTCTGTTTATTCATTCTCCTGCTCTTTCCTTCACCTCTGCTTATTCATTCTATTTATCTTTTTCCTCTTTTATGACAAAATCCAAGGTAAAATAAGTTGTTATCAAGTAGACCCTGACTCATGGTGACCCCATGTGTGTCAGAGTAGAACTGTGCTCCATAGCATTTTCAATAGCTGATATTTCAGGAGATTGCTAAGACTTTCCTCCTAGGTGCCTCTGGGTGGACTGGACTCTTCAACCTTTTGATTAGCAGCCAAGTGTATTAACTGTTTGAACCACCCAGAGACTCTCAGTACTAAGAGTAGTACTACCCATAAAGACTAAACCAAACCAAAACCAAAATCACTGCCTTTGAGTCGGATCTGACTCATAGCAATCCCTCCTTGGGTTTCTGAGGCAGTATCTCTACGAAAGTAGATTGCCCAACCTTCCTTCTGAGGAGTGGCTTTTGGGTTTGAACAACCAGCCTTCTGGTTAGCAGTCAAATGCCTTAGGCACTTGCTTTAGTAGCTACCACTTCCTCTGTGTTAGACCCTATTCTTAGTGTTTTACATGTATTGAATAATTCATTTAATCCTCCCAGCAACCTGTCAGGCTTATAAATTTACATTTTCTCAAATAGGGACATCAAAGTAACTTCCCCAGGTTGCATAGTTAATAAAATGTTTAGGTCAGAATTTTTAACCTTGGCATTCTGATTCCATAGCTTGTATGTACTCTTAATTACAAATCTACATTAAATACAGTAATATTTTAGCAGAAGGTGATTTAAAACTTTCATATTTTTTCTCTACATAATTCTCTTTCTAAATCTGGAATTGAAAATTAGTTTTACTTCTTTTGATAATTTTGATCAGTGCTACTGTCTTCCTGGAGTATCTGCAGCAAAGGTCTCAGACTGCCTGGGTATAGTAGGTAAAAGTGCAATGATTGATGCTGCCATAAGGAGGGCTAAGAAAGATACCAGCATCAAGTATCTGCCTATTTGAACCTTTGTATAATGTCAATGATACTAATTAGTATAATGTCAATTCCTCTGAAAAAAGGAAGGAGGCAGACAAGTCTTTCTTATAAATAAGAGGTTGGGGATAACATCATTATGAAATATCATCCCCACCCCACCAAAAGAATTCTAACCTCATGGATAGGCTAACCTTGAGCTTTTCTACTGACCTTGAACGCCTCTGCCCTGCCCCACCAGGTTGGGCAGTGTCCTCGATGACTGGATTCACAATCTTCTCAGTCATGTCAGTGAGCACAGTGAAAGTGGGTTCCACGATGAAATCAATGAAGCCTGAAGAGAAACACAATACTTCAGAGGAACTAAACATTTACTTGGGCCTTTCTATATTTTCCAATGGAAACTGATGAGTCTTTTCTTTCTTTGAAAAATCATCTAAAGCATGAGGCATTTTTAGGGCAGTGAAACTATTCTGCAGGATACTATAATGGTCATTATAAGTCATTATGCATTGGCCAAAACTCATAGGACTGTCTAACACACACACCCACAAAATGACCCCTAATGTAAAGAAAAGATTGCAGATAATAATAATGTTTCAATATTGGTTCATCAATTATAACAAGCATACCACACTAATACAAGATGTTAATCATAGGGGAAACTGTACACAGGGAGGAAGGGAGTTTATGGGAACTTCCTATATTTCTTGCTCAAATCTTCTGTAAACCTAAAACTTCTCTAAAAAATAAAGTCTGCTAATTAAAAAAAAAAAAAAAAATCATCCACAAAGGATTCTCCAGATTAGATTAGGAGAGAATGAGTCTTATTGAATACATAACATGATTTAAATAACATGAGTTAGTTCTATTTCTTCAATATAATTTCCCTACTACTTATCAATACAAAGTTCAATAAAATTCTTTAAAAATACATATTCAACACCCACTATGCAATAATTGAAGTGTTAGAAACTGTGTAGAGGACTAAGCTACAGACCACCTTACTTTTCTGGCCTTCATCATCACTTCCCTATAATCCTGCAGGAGGCACCTAAATGGTTTCCTTGCCTCAAGCCTAACTCAGAATCTTCCAGTTAGTGTTCCACATTACTGGTAAAGGAATTGTTCTACAACAGGGACTGGAAAACCTTTTCTATAAAGGGCCAGATAATAAATATTTTAGGCTTTGTGCTCCATACTGCCTTTATCATGACATCTCAATTCTGTTGTAGCATGAAAGCAGCTATAGACGAAATGGAAATGCATGAGCTTAGCTGTGTTTCAATGAAACTTTATTTACAAGAACAAGTGGTAGACCAGAACTGGCCCAAAGTCCATAGTTTTACCAATTTTTCAACTTTACTTAAAATCCTTTAGATATGCCTCATTTCTTACAGGAAGGTACAAACACTTGTTATTCTTAATAGAATATACAATCTGGGCCTTATTTCCTCTCTAGATATCCCCTTACTGCATTCTACTACTCACCCATTGCTCTTGCCATATAATTGTATTTCACTGACCATGCTAGGCTGTTTTAAATTTCTCCACTTCATATATGTTATTTCTGCCTGAAAGACCCTTCCTACCACCTTTAATGCATGCCACCATTTACCTAGACAATGCCTACTCCCTCTTTAGAACTGAACTCAGATAATACCCTTTAACAAGTGTTTCTGGACTGCCTAGGTCTAAAAGCCCATAAACTCTGTTTTGTATGCCATTGTACCAAGTATAAAACTCTACCATCACACTGTAACACTCTAATACATTTTGTTTTCATGATGCCTTACCCACCACCCAATGCTGGTTTAATGCCCTTGAGAGAAGGTTGTGGTTGTTGTTGCTGTTGTTATGTGCTGTCGAGTCAGACCTGACTCTAATTTGCCTTTGTTTTTATAATATCTATAATATAGTGCCCAACACCAAACAGAGCCTTAATATATTATTACAAAAAAATCATTCAAAAATGAGTATAAAAGTCAACAATTTCTGCAAAATTTATTTTTGAATAATTTTAGATCTTTCAAGGGGGAGATCATCGATGACACTTAATTTATGTATGACACGGGTACCTGTTCCCGTATCTAAGAATGTGGATTGTGATGCACTTATATTATGGTTATCAGTGGTGCAAAAGCTATCCTTTTTAAAAATGAATAATAAGTTGAAAGAAAGAAAGAAGGGAAAAAGAGAGAGAAAGGACACATTTAAAAGGAGCTACTCCTGGAAGTAGAGTCCTTCAGGAAATGTGGCTGGTCTGGAAACAGAGCTACAAGAAGAATAAATGAAGAGAAATGTTATTTTGACTTGCAGTACTGCATGTGGAAAGGAGAGGCTGGAGTAGAACAGGCTTTCTGCCAATGACACTTGTCATCTCCTTGTAAAGTTGAGGTCTCTTTTTCTCTTGGCAGGGTACGATGTGGACATAAGAACGCCACTGTCCAAGCTTCCCACGAACCAGCCACATTCCAGGGAGAAGGATGGGACGGATAGCTTCATCAGTGCAAGCAGCCAAACCACGAGCCCAGCATGGCAGAATGCAGACAGGTCCAGAGCCAAGGAATCACTGGAACAGTTGAGCTTACTTCTACAGACTCCCTCTGTTTGATTTTTTCCCTCCATCCAAAGGGCTGGCAAACACATACCTACTTGTGACTGAGCAACCATGGTTGACTTTCGATCACAAAGAGGAGAAAAAGGCAGCCCCAACTCTGCTTCTCTGTCACCCTAGAAAAACAGGAGGACATAGTAAATTAAGAGCAGTAGGCTAAAGCACCCAAATTTTATTTGGCAACTTCAGCTGCCATGTAGCTCACTGGTCTCATTTTAATTATTTCAAATACATTATATAATAAGTCTTTATGGGCCCTGGACACCTGAATAAAAGACACTAACAGGCTGAATTCCCTCTGGGATCCGATCACTCCACCCAAGTGCAAAGGCACAGGCTGTTGTAAAGAAAGCCTCATTTGGCAGCAAAAGTTCCCTCATGTAAAATAAGAAAAGCAACATGTCTTGTGGTCTGGAGCTAACAATGAAGTCAGAATTCTTGTGTTTTCTCAACTGTCTGCATCAATCTGTGGCCTTGCTCAAGTGACTGAACTCCTCTTAGCTGTGGGCAGTGTCTAAGACATAAATTCAAATAGGGTTGATTCAGGTTTATTCTCCTAGTGCTACTTGGAACCACACAGAACTGGAGGAAGTGCCTCTGGATTCTTAAACCACAGGGTTCTGTTCATAATGAAAAAGTAGATCAAGAATAACCAAAGTAAATAATAGTTTGTGTTTATCAAGCTAGATAATAAAGCATCATTCTCTAGCCGGTGTACTCTCAATCTCATCAAAAAGCATCACTAATAAGCAAGTGCTGAGGAATGTTTAAATAATAATGTTATAGTTCTTCCGTGCCGCTGAGTCAGTTTTTGACACATAGCAAGTAGAATCTCCCCCATAGGGTTTTCTAGGCTGTAATATTTATGGAAGCAGATTGCCAGATCTTTTTCCCGCAGAGATGCTGGGTGGGTTTGATATTTTAAAAGAAAAAAAAAAAAAACTGAGCCAGAGACTCAATATTTCTATTACACAGAGAAAGGAAAACAAACAAACAAACAACAACAGCAGCAACAAAAAAACAGTGCCACTCTTATAGCAATAAAGTTGTGCTAGCTGTTTTTAGTTAGAAGGAAGTGATTGTGCTTGAATCTTACTTCTTTCCTACTACCTGTGTGATGATGGGAAGATTCTTTTCCCTCTCTAAGCTTCAGTACTATGATTTATAAAATGCAGGATAATAATTACTACATCATAGGGTTATAAATGGAAGCTCCAGTGGTGTAGTGGTTAAGGCATTTAGCTGCTAACCAAAAGATTGGTGGTTTGAACTCACCAGCCATCCACAGAAGAAATATGGGCAGTCTGCTTCTGTAAAGGTTTGTTGTTGTTGTTGTTATGTGCCATTGAGTCAGACCCGACTCATAGCGACCCCTCCTTGGGTTTCTGAGGCAGTATCATTACAGAAGTAGATTTCCCCACCTTCTTCTGAGGAGTGGCTAGTGGGTTTGAACCATCAGCCTTCTGGTTAGCAGTCAAGTGCCTTAGGAACTATGCTACCAGAGACTCCAGCAGGCAAATGTATATAAAATGAAGTTTATTAGTGGTTAACAGGGGCAGGCAGGAGGAGGGGGGACTCACTGCTCAGAAGATATTGAAATTCTGTATAGTGTGATAGAAATACTTTGAAATGGATAATAGTGATGGTTGAACAACATGATGAACTTAATTAATGTCACTGAATTGGACATGTATGGAATGCTAAATAGTAAATTTTTTTTACATATATATTTACCACAATAATTTTTAAAAAAGAATGATCTAAGAAACATTTAATGAATTTTCTATATCTAATAAATTTTTATCGTAATAAATATCACCAATTAATTAATAATAAAAAAAGATTAATAACAATCTTAAACCAGGCCTTGTTGGAGAACTGCATGTTTTTTCCTTCCAAGGCATATTACCAAAGAGGAAGGATGTGAGCTCACACACATATTTAATATCTGTTAAAAGAATATAAGAAGAAGGGGCATCTGATGAAGCTGAACAGTAGAGTCACAATGGGAGCTAGGACAACCAAGTTTCTCAGGAACAGCCTCAAAGTGGCTCAAGTCCTTCTGGGTTCTTTCCCTATACAAATCAGACACTTCATAGGTCATAAAGGCAACTTTGTTTCCAAGAACTCCTTGTTGATGGCTGCTCCATCTCTC